GTGGTAACCGCCTGCGCGGAGCAGCACCCGCACCGCCCGGGGCACCCGCCTGGGGACACCCGACCGGGGGGCAAGCGCCTGGAGGCACCCACCCAGGAACACCCACACAGGGGCACCCACCCGGGGACATCCACCTAGGGACACCTGCCCGGGGACACCCACACAGGGACATCTGCCAGGGGCACCCACCCGAGGGCAACCACACAGGGGCACCCGCCCGGGGACAACCGCCTGGGGGCACCCACCCAGGGGCACCCACCCGGGGACACCCACACAGGGGCACCCGTGCAGGAACACCCATGCAAGGACACCCGGCCAGTGACACCCACGCAGGGACACCTGCACAAGACATTGCATAAGCTCTTTCCCCCCCAGCCATGTTGAGGCTGAATCCCATAACAGCACCAGGGGGTTACTGGTGTCTGTGGGCAGGGAGCAGGCAGGGCCAGGCTGCAGCACAGGTGTGGGTGACAGCCCCAGGGACCTCAGACCACCCTGAGGCACCACCTGCCCTTCATTTGGTGGCTTTTTGACTTAAGTAAATGAGAAATAAGAAGTTCAGGCCATCACCACTCCCGTGACAGTGGAAGGTGTTTCAAAGCCAGGGTGGTGATGGAGGAGGCACCAGATGGGACCTTTGCTGTGTCCCTTGCCAGGCAAGGGCTGTGGAAGCCTTGCTGGGGCTGCCACTGCTCTCCCTGTGCCTCTCCACTGCAACAGCAGAGCCCAAGGTGACCTCTTGAGTTCTGGAGACCAAATTCCTCCATTTACAGGCAAGCACGCTGCTGGTCTGGGATGTGGCTCCTGCAGGATTTCCCCACCACATCCTCTGTGCCCTGCTGTGATGTGGGGCTGGGTCGCACCTTCACCCTTTGCTGGATGCCCAGGACAGGCAGATGAGCAGTGGCAAGCCCAGGAGGGGACGTGTCCCCCATGTCCACCCTGTGGTGGGACCCTTCATTGGTGGGAACCAGAGAGAGAAGAGCTGCTCTGAGCAGTGGTGCCACATCCCATGGGTCAGGCACCCCCTGGGCTATATGGACAATGCGGTGAGAAACACAGACTGATCCCTTCCACGATGGAGACGGTGCTGCCACAGGAAGCCAAGAGGACCCTGTCCAGTGGCCAGCCAAGAGAGGTGCCAGCAGAGAGACCCCCCCATCTCGGGGATGTCCTCTTTGGGATGTCCATCCCCCCTGTGGGGGTGTCCACACTCACCCTTGCCGTGTCAAGCACAGCACGTGTGTGTGCAGCCCCCCAGGGACCTGTGGGGCACAGCAGCCCCAAGGGTCAACGGCTCCTGCTCTATCTTGTTTGCAGCGGGTGTTTGATGGCACCCGCATGCAGGATCCAGCCGTGGGGCAGCTCCCTGCTCCCAGGCTCCACCAACTTTGCAGCCTGTGCTGCAGCTCCCCTCCCTCCCCTCTTTTCTACTTGCAGAGAAAAAGATGGGTGTACCTCCGGGTAGTGAGAAAGGCTGCAAAAAACTTCTTTTATGGGAGGTTTTTGGTCTGCACAAGGCAGATTGTGTGGTGCAATAAGGGATTAAATGGCAAAAAATGGAGAATTCCTTAAAGCACTTGTTTAGTTGCTGCTAAATCTTCAATGTCCCGAGTGAAACTGTACCCCCACATTGCTATTGCTCCATTAATGAGAACACAGGATGGGCCGGTGAGCCACAGGTGAGGTGTGGGGCCATTACCAGGCAGGGCAGGGTGCGTTTGTCCTCCCTGCTCTGCTCCCTGCCCAGGCACGCAGCCTGTTCCTGGTGGGTGACACCGCAGAGCCCCCCAGCCGCCCCACAGAGCCCCCCGGCCACCCCCCCAGGGTCCGTGTCAGCCACCTTGCCCCTGTCCCTCCCAGCAGCCTGCCTTTGCCCCCACCCTTTGCAAAAGGTTGCATTAGTCTTCTGCGTAACTGAGACAACCAGGCAACGGTCCCTGGGCTCAAATACCTGCCCAGGGCTGGGCCGTGAGCCCTGCCATGCTCCCTGGGCTGCAGATGCGGGCAGCGTGGAAGCAGCTTTGGAAAAATCCCACTGGGTGCTGGAGTGAAGCACCTGGGGAGCTGAAATCCCCTGGCAAACCAGCCTGGAGCAGAAGCTAGGGAGCTCCCAGCTGATGGGGAATGAGGAGCATCTCGGGGCAAGGGGCCGGGGCAGGGGCCATGGGGTATCTCCCTGCCTGCTCTGGCTAAGGGCTTGACTGGGCTGAGTTCCCCCCCCCCTGCACAGTCTGGCCAGGCCCATTGACATGATAATACTATGAAACTTCAGCAATTTGAAAAACAATCAGCCAGAAGGAGCCCGAAGGGGGCTGCTCGAAACCCCAGGCAACCTCTGAGGGCTCTGACCTGTCCTGGGAAGGTCTGCCTCTACCCTTTGGCTACCCTCTGATATTTACTCCGGATTTTTGGCAAGAAAAATTGGATTTGTGGCCAGCTATGCCAGCTGTTGGCTACAGCCCTACCCTTGCGGCCTGGCTCTGGCTCTGCAGGGGCCACGGGACTCCAGGCAGGCTGGGATTCCCCCAGTAGGACTGGTCCTGGGAACAGTGCTAAGGGCTTTTTTTACTGGTTCACAGCCTGCCTTTGCTCTGGAAAAGCCAAAGCTCAATGGCCTTGGGCCAGAGTCAGTCATGGTGGTGTTAATTAGGAGGGAAACGATAGCTGGGGTCATCCTTCCCCTGCTCAGGGATGGAGTGGGACTCTCGGGCGGGCATGCTCCTTCACCCATCTCCAGCAGCGCTTTAAAGGCAGGTTTAAAGGTTTAAAAGCGATCGCCACCTGCTCGGCGAGACCAATGGTTGCGTTAGAGTGCCGGCAAGGGCACCAACCGGGAACAAGCAGTGCCGCAAAAACACCCAGCATCCGACCGTTCGTGCTACAGCCCCGCGGCGCAGGGCTCAGCCCAAGTCATCCATAGCACAAGCGGCTTCACCACCTCCAGTGCCACGTGGCTCGGCCCGGCTCCAGCACCAGAGCCCCACACTTGGACACCACGGCTCCTCCATCTCCTCCACCCCTTCCCATGGGGCTGCTCTGCTGTTCCTGTCACCCTTCCCGGAGACCATAGGGCAGGGCAGCCCCTCTCTCAGCAGGTACTGCCACATCTCTGCCTCTCTGATATCCCCACAACCTGCATCACTGGACATGGAAGGAGGAGCCATGGTGCTCTGGGGACATCAGGATGGAGCTCACAGCACTGGAGAATGACACTCTTGGGCCAGGGTTTGGGAGAAGCCTCCCTGGGCTGCATAGACAACTCTTGTTCAGACTAAAGGAGGGAATAATTCCCATGGGGAGGGCTGAGACAACAGAAGGTGCCACCCAGAGCAGCCAGGGCTCTGCTTGGCACCCGTGAGGCCACCCTTGAGCGCTGGGTCCAGCGCTGGGCTCCCCAATACGAGAAAGGCAGGGACGGACTGAAGAGAGTCCAGTGAAGGGCCTGGAGGTGGTGGAGAAGCTGGAGCATCTCTGCTGTGAGGAGCAGCTGAGAGCTGGGGCCGTGCAGCCTGGAGCAGAGCAGGCTCGGGGCTCTCATCAATCCGTATAAATATCCGGGGGGAGGGTGCAGAGAGGACGGAGCCCAGCTCTTCACAGTGGTGCCCAGGGACAGGACCCAGATGCCACAGGCACAAACTGGCACATGGGAGGGTCCCTCCGAACATCAGGAAACACCTTTGCACTGTGAGCAGCTCTTTTAGCCTGACCCAAAAGAATGGGTATTTTCTTAACTTAGT